GTGTCAGTTTGGAGCCATCATGGACCGGTGTGAAGTCCTGATGAATACTTAGGCGTCAAACCCCTAGACGTCAAGGTGGGGCCGGGCGGTGAGGCAGGCACAGACCTGAAGAGAAGAGGAATTTTCAGATGTCGGCTTGGCATCTTAACACCGCGTGGTTCTCCTGCTCAGTGACCCGACCTGACCCCTCCTCAGACACCCACCGTGTGGTGGGGCCCTGCATGGCTTTCTCAGAGGCTGACATATCGTACTGCGGGACCTCCATGAGCCTCAAAAACCTCTATGGGCCCCCTCACGCTTGGGGTAGGCTTCCTGAAGCATAAAATCTCTGAGTCTTGAGATGGGCCCATTAGACATGAACTGGGCCATCAATATACATGTGGTGAGTTGACCTATATCAAACATGATATCGGCTCAATCAGGATTGGGATAGGCCCTCTCAGACCCAGACCAGGCACGGAGTACGGACCCTCCCACACATAGGATGATCCTTTCATTCCTGGGATGAGTCTTCTCAGGCCTGAAATGGGCCCCTCTCAGGCCTGAAGTGGACCCTCTCAGGCCTCAAATAGGTCCTCTAGGGCCTGAAATGGGCCCTCTCAGGCCTGACATTAGCCCTCTCAGACCTGAAATGGGCCCCTCTCAGCCCTCAAATAGGACCTCAAGGGCCTGAAATGGGCCCTCTCAGGCCTGACATTAGCCCTCTCAGACCTGAAATGGGCCCCCTCAGCCCGTAAATGGTCCCTATCATGTCGAAAAAGGGCCCCCTGGCCCTCATACCGTAACTGGGCCCTCTCAGGTCTGAAATGGTGCCTCTTATGCCTGAAATGGGCCCTCTCTGGCCTCAAACGGGCCCTCTCTGGCCTCAAACAGGCCCTCTAGGGCATGAAATGAGCCCTCTCAAGCTTGAAATGGCCCCCTCAGGCCAAAAATGGGCCCCTCTCAGGCCTGAAATGGGCCCCTCTCAGGCCTGAAATGGGCCCTATCAGGCCTCAAGCATGCCATCTAGGGCCTGAAATGGACCCCTTCAGGCCTGAAATGGGCCCTCTCAGGCCTGAAATGGCCCCTCTCAATCCTCAAACAGGCCCTCTAGGGCCTGAATTGGGCCCTCTCAAGCTTCAACTGGCCCCTTCAGGCCTGAAATGGGCCCTCACATACCTGAAATGGACCCTCTCAGGCCTGAAATGGCCCTTTCATGCCATGGAACGGGCCCTCCTAGGCCTTGGATTAGTTCAATCGGGCCTTGGATCACCCCTTAAATCATAAAATGGGACTATATATCCTAAGGGGGGGGGGCTATCAGGCCTGAAGACTGTTTTTCAGTCCTATGACGGACCTTGACATTAGTGATAAAAATATTGTCAGGCTGCATAACGTTACAGTTCGAATCGACGGTGGGCCCCTAGGATAAGAGACGGGGGTGAGATCTCACCCCTTTCACCCCCCCCTGGCTGCGCCAACTTATGGATACACGTTTTCAGTTGCATCCAGCATAATTGAACGGATTATATCGCACCGCGCGGAGAAGCGAACCGCCTGTGCTAGAGCTTTTTGATCTAGCTAAATGTATCTCAGCCTTAGAAAGAAACGCAATACGTTTAAAAACGTATCCTCCGTCCTACCGCTCTTTAAAATTGTCACGGCACTCCGAGACTAAGAAACGGAGGAACGAATCGAACCACCTATGGCAGGCGCTAAAGAGTCCACTCAGGTGTGTGTAGGTACTCGGCCTCTGAACCGGCATGGAGCATCGTGAGACTTACTACCTATTAGTCTGCAGTTTGATGCATAGGCGTAGGAACAGGGGGGGCCAGGTGGGCAAGTGCCCACCCACTTTTCGAGGTGGGGGGGCCAACCATGTGTTTTGGCCCACCCACTTTTTACTCGAGGCCCCTCGTCTCGATTTGAGAGGACGTCGCACGGACTCCAAGGGGCCGTGATGGATCCAAGGAGGCCCTCTGTTCATACTTGTCAGTCGAAGCCCCTGATACTGATGGCCTGAGAGGCCCTAGTGGATCTGAGGAGGCCCCAATATCCACACTGGTCTGGGGAGGCCCCTGGCACTGGCGGTCTGGGAGGCCCCTCTATCCACACTAGTGAGAGGTCTGAGACTGGTGGTCTGGGAGGCCCCTCCATCCACACTAGTCAGAATAGGCCCCTGACACTGGCGGTCTAGCCGAGGCCCCCTACCCTCAGTAGTCAGAGGAGGCCCCTCTATCCTCAATAGTCAGAAGAGGCCCCTGAGACTGATGGTCTGGGAGGCCTATCCATCTACACTGTAGTCAGAGGAGGCCCCTGAGACTGATGACCAGAGGGGCCCTTATAATCACATCAGGCAGAAGAGGCCCATGAGACTGATGGACTGAGAGGCCCTTCTATTCATACTGGCCACAGGAGACCCCCAAAACTTTCGGTCTGGGAGGTCCCTTAATCCGGCACCAGTCAGAAGAGTCCCCTGAGACTGATGGCCTGGGAAGCCCTTATATTCACACTAGGCAGAGGAGGCCCCTGAGACTGATGGTATGAGAGGCCCTCATATTCACACCAGTCAGAGGAGGCCCCCGAGGCTGATGGCTGTGAGGCCCTTCTGTTCATATAACTGGCCACTGGAGGCCCCTGAAACCGGTGGTCTGGGAGGACCCTCTATCCACACTAGTCAGAAGAGGCCCCTGAGACCGATGGTCTGAGAGGCTCTTATATTCATACTGGCCACAAGAGGCCCCTGAGACTGATAGTCAGAGAGGTCCACTCCTAATGAATCTGAGGGGACCCTCTATCCACATTTACACTTTTCTAGGGAGGCCCCCGAGACTGATGGTCTGAGAGGCCCTTTTATTTATACTGCCCACAGAAGCCCCCAGAGATTAATGGTCTGAGAGGCTCTTCTATTTATACTAACCAGAGGAGGCCCCTAGGATTGATGGTCTAACAGGCCCTTCTATTTATACTAGCCAGAGGAGGCCCATGAGACTGATGGTCTGAGAGGCCCTTCTATTCAAACTAGGCAGATGAGGCCCCTGAGAATGATAGTCCGAAGAGCCATGCGGCAGCAACTGGCCGTGGCCATATTTCGGCTCGGTAGGGCCCCACAGAGCTCATGAGAGCACCTCAAGGGCTGCTAGGTAGACACGCTTATCCCCATAAGGGTGCCACGTCGGCTTCTGAAGGCTCCTTGTAAGCATCTAAGGGCCCTTTCCGGCCTCTAACGGCTCCACCCGCCTGTGATGGCTCCACACCAGTGTTTATGAGCGCCACACAGCGGCGCCTTTGAGGGTCGTACTAGTGTCTCTTAGGGCCCTATATCGGTGGCTCTGGGGGCCCCACACCGGCGCCTCTGTGGGCCACCACACCTGTGCATCTCAAGGCTCTATAGGTACATCTGAAGGACCCACACCGACACCTCTGAGGGCCCCACACCAGTATCTCGGAGCTCTGAAGGCCCCACACCGGTGACTCTGAGGATTCACCGGCTCCTGAGAGCACCATGTTGATGTCTAACGGCTCCACAAGGCCACTGAAGGCACCACACAAGCTATCACTGAGCTCTAATGTCCATGTACCAGCCTCTGAGGGATTTAAGCCAGCGCATTCATAGCTCCACACCAGCAATTGTAAGGGCTTCACACTGAAGTATCTGAGGGTTCCACACCGGTGTCTCTAAGGGCCACATACCGGCATCTCTGAGGGCCCATACCGGCATCTCTGAGGGCCCCATACCGGCGTCTCCGAGGGTCCACACCTGGCGGGCACCCATCAGCGACTGAAGGTCCCACACTGTCGACTCCGAGAGTCCCATCTGCGTCTAGGAGCACCATGCCGTCTCTAAGAACCACAGCGGCTCCTCCGTACGAAAGATGGGCGTCTGCATGCCAAAGGGGAGCGGTTCTGAGACAGTAAGGTAAGGCACCTACGTGCAATAGAGGGGCGCCTATGAAGCCGATAGGGGCGCCTCAATCCGAAAGAAGGGCGCCTCTGAGGCCTACATATATGGGCGTCCACATGCAATAGAGGTCTGCAAATTGCAATTGATCAATGCCATGGGGGTGCATTCATAAGAAACAGGGGCGCCGGCATGGCAAAGAGAGGCGCCTTCAAGTGTCCATAAAAGAGAGACGCCTATGATAAGCGCACATTGTATGCGACAACGGACTGTGCGACTGTGGGTCACCAAATATGTCCCACAGTGTGGGACATATAGGGATGTCTCTGATGACTATACATAGGGCGCTTATATGCCAAAGAGGGCGCCTATGAAGCTAATGGGGGCACCTGGGAAACGAGGAAGACATTTGTGTAAGGGTTTTCAGGGGTCATGCGCCGTTTGCGGACTCCGCACAAAAAATGGTGCGGACTTTCCGCACTTCGCTTAAGCGGGGTGCATCTGCCCGATCTCAGAAGCTAGATTTGGAGGTCATACTTGAAAGCAGCCAGCAAGACAAAGCAAAAGTTGGAGGCCCCTGAAAATAGGAGGCCCCTTGACAGGGTGGCCCACCCACTTTTCATGACGTTCCTACGCCCGTGGTTTGATGAATCACGTCCGTCTAATGCTTTCAGTGGTCGATCATTCTCGAGTGCCTGCTGTAAGTGCCCAGGTCCGTGGGTAGAACGGGCCATTTCCAGGCTATTGAGTTCCCTTTGGTTCACCACCATGGTCAGGTGAGACGTTTGAGTCGTCGACTCTTATTGCTTCCTGGTGGACCGAATTCGTGAAGCCGTCTCACCTCTCGCCTCAGTGTGGTTTACCATCGAACAAAGACTGGGCCAATTTGCAAAAAATACAACATTTTAATGGTTTTCATCATCTGAAAACCTTAATTACAGTACAAAACTGAAAACTGTACACTTACCGGTAAGCATGATACCTAGACAGTAGACATGCACAAATGAAAAACAAATTATTCTATGACGTCATATGACACCAGAGATTCTCGCTCAGTAAAAGAAGAAAGACTGCCTTGCATTTCTCCTTCCTTGCGACATTCAAATAGAATTCCTCTTTTCTCAAGGGACCTCAGATCGCCTCAGATCCTTTTACTTGCCTTTTACAACACGGAGAAATACGAGGGTGTCACTGTTATTATTCGATTTGATTATATAATACGAAATTATGAGGATATTGGTGGGAGTCAAGAGAGTGATTGATTATGCTGTCAAGGTAATAAAATCCTGCTCATTTGATATCACCTATGTTATAAAAATTGCCGTCCCGAAAACGGTCAATTTCTCAAAATCATCATCGGCTGAATTGCTTTGTTTGCTCATTCTTGTTGCATGCTGTACATTTTTGCTTTAGTTTCATTTAATACATTTTCATTTCACATGTCTTTCCATCTTGTCATAATCACTACGTTTCCATGACACATCTAAATCGATTTAGCGGAGTTTCATGTGCGTTTTTCTCGGATAGGTACCATTCACCTTATGCAATATGTAATGACTTGAGTGTATGTATTGTTTTAGCTAGCACGTAATCTTATATTTACATTTTTCAACAGTGTCTAGATGCTATGATTGAGCTAAACTGCTTTGCAAAATTGGCTTAACTTGTATCATGGAATTGTGACCAATGAGTAAAGGAGATATCTGCAAACCTCTGTCAGTAAATATCAATGATCCAGGGTCTGAAAGATAGATAGGCACTTCAGCATTTGCTCTGCAACCTACTTATGTATTACTTCAAACTGTTAAGCACTATTTTAACTGGTCAGTTGATTGCAAAGTTAGGTTTTACATGGTTATTACTTACCTGGTTTTACTTGGCTTACTGTCCTCTGCCCTTGTGCCAGTCCAAGGTAGGTAGCTTGTAGGCTAAGTGCTAACCCCCAAATAACCATTCCTTGTGCAGGTGCGGGTGCGGCCAGACAAGAAGGGGGTTGTCACTGATGGAGTCAAACACTCCATGAACCCTTTTGATGAAATTGCTGTGGAGGAGGCCATCAGACTGAAGGAGAAAAAGATTGCCAAGGAAGTGGTGGCGCTCTCCATCGGACCCACCCAGGCTCAGGTGGGTGTGAGCCAGGAGTGGAGAATTGGAGATGATAGCTTAGTACTCTGCTAAATATCAACAATGACAGTATAGTATGAGGTAGGTGTTTCATATTTGGTAGGTACTTTTTGTAATGGGTATAAAGCATTATCAGCATTCGATAGTGAATTACAACACATGACATTTTACATAAATCCTAAGCATATGTTGAATGAAACCATTTGCCATCAGAACTATGCTTCAAAGCAAACTCTGCTTGTCTCTGGCATTTTCTTTTTTGTGTCAACTGTCATGGGGTGTGTCATAGCTTAAAGTTTTTTTTTTTGTATTTTACATGTCACTTCTTGCCTACTCAGTCATAGGCACTGAGGGACTATCAGTAAGTAAGAATCTGAACTCAGCATCTTTACCACTTATAGGGCTCTAATTTCGCTGAGATGTGAACACACACAGGCATCAATTTTAGCTCCTATGATGCTCTGAAGAGACCAATTTTACTGGATACACTAGATAAATCAGTTTGTGTGTTTCATTCGCGGCACGGTGTAGCGACCGATTGGCCTAGTTTTGGCTGGCCTGTGCTCCAGGAGACGCTGCGGACCGCGCTGGCGATGGGCGCCGACTCCGCCATCCACGTGGAGGTGCCGGCCGGGGAGCTGGAGCGCGTCCAGCCGCTGCATGTCAGCCGCATCATCTCCAAACTGGCCACCGAGGGCAAGTTCGACCTGGTCATGGTCGGCAAACAGGCCATCGACGACGACTGCAACCAGACGGCGCAGATGACGGCCGCCATGCTGGACTGGCCGCAGGCCACGTTCGCCTCCAAGGTGGGCGCCGCAGGCTACTTTCGTTTGCAAGGTGACCATCGGGTGTAGTTAGCGTAGTTCGAGCGTAGCTTGCATCCGTATGAGTTTTAATGCGGACTGCCTTAGCTGCTTGCTCAGTGGACTTTATGTTCCTCGCTAATTTGTTTTTCTTTATATGACACCTTGGTTACAATCGTGATAATTCTGACGATTTTTTAGACGTGCTTTGTTGATTTGCTATCGTTTCCCAACCGAGCTGACAACCTGAATATTCGATCACGTCCTGCTGAGGATTAATGCGCAAAATGAACACACATAGGTATGGTGAAGGTAACAACGGCATGCTTGCGTTATACCGTGGCCGTGCGATGTGTTTTAGGGTGTCGGAGACCGTCCATACCTCCACACCAGCTCGTTCTGACTCCGACTCCCTCCACAGGTGGAGAAGGACGGCGACTACCTGAAGGTGACTCGCGAGATTGACGGCGGCCTGGAGACCATCAAGGTGGGCGTGCCGGCCGTCATCTCGGCAGACCTGCGACTCAACGAGCCCCGCTACGCCACCTTGCCCAACATCATGGTGAGCGACCGACGGATTGGTCCGTACGCCGACACCGGGAACGGTACCGGTAGACGCCGTACCACAGAATAGCTTAGCCGCTGAGGCTCGCTGGTGAAGCCTGGAGCCATCATGTAGGAAAGAATTGGTTGCGGGGCTGCGGGCAAAGAAAGCCGTTATTACTCATTATACATATTGTTCTCTTTTTAGTCACTTTGATGCTTTGTGATTTATCGACAAGTTATTGTCCTTATAATCCCTTTAATACGGAATCGCGTATTTTTATCTTGCATTTGGTTTTGCTTTTATCGGTAGAATGCTTGCGGTATGCCCTGAAACTCGCCACTCAACATTTTGTAAGCTGACGAGATTGGACACTTTTTGCAATCTCCGATCTCTTCACCCTGCAGAAAGCGAAGAAGAAGCCGATCAAGAAGATGAAGGCGTCTGAGCTGGGTGTCGACCTGACGCCGACGATCGAGGTCATCTCCGTGGAGGATCCCCCGGTGCGCGCGGCGGGCATCAAGGTCGATGACGTCGATACGCTCATCGCCAAATTGAAGGAGGCCGGACGGGTCTGAGCGAAAAATGGTAAGTAACCACCACTGGTGACCAGAAGGTTGTGATGGTGCTGGCTTTTACTTGATTTATACTGGAATGTGTGCTGATGAAACTCTCTGACAGATATATGAGAAACTGAGTCCTACTGACTTGTTGGGGGATTATTATCTGTCATTTCTCTCCGGGAAAACGTAGCACGTGGGTACCCGCTGTCCCACTGTAAGCTCGGAGCCGTGCGCTGATACCATTTCCCTGGTTTTCTCAGCTTATCGTCACAGCGACTCCAGTAGAGGCTACCGCGAGGCGGAGTCTCGCCCACCCAGCGATGGGTGTCTACAATGCAATGAATATGACCCGGGCCATACAGTGCTCAGCCGGCGTCCGGAGCTGTGAAAACTCCACCGAGGCTGCTCGGAGCGGGGTGTCATACAGGGGAGCATCGGGCCGATATGATACAGATGGGGATACTATAGCCGGCCCTCGGCAGTGTGGTGTCGACTCAGACTCAGCGCCGGCCGGCGGGGCACGGCGACCTGCGGTGGACGGATCACAACCGCGGCGCTCCCGTCTCCTGCGATACACCGCTTGGGTGCCCCGAAATCGGTGCTGAGGATATTTGTATCACTGTATGCTTGATCATGCTGGTTTAGTTTCGGTTTTTAAAATATGGCAGAGGCGAATGTTGGTCAGGTAAACGAATAATACATGTGGCTCTTGGACTTAGTGCCCCATGGCGTTAACTATTCTTCGTACTCGGAAAACGACTGACGATGCATTCTGACGCAACCATGCGTAATTGCGTACTCGATTGACAAATACATCGACTAACAAGTAACAACGACTGACTGATACATACCAATGCCATCCGTGGTACAGTTAACTGACGCACAAACCGGGAAGCCGCGCAGTGGTCAATCCATTAGGCGTTATTTCATATAGGCCTTTGCCTGTCAGAGTATGGCGTTATAGGTCTTTGGAGGGCATGGCTCTTGCATCCTATACATAATTAACCTTCAGAGCCCGACCACTAAATGACGCCATGGGCGTAGGAAAGGCTGAAACATTGTGGGTGCATGGGTGCAGAAATCCAGCCATGGCCGGTGAAGCGGGGGGGGGGGGGGGCGACACCCGAGCGAAGGCTCGTTACGGGCTTTGAAGGTGTACCATGTCGAAAAGGTACCAACCGATAAGTGCATTTGGAAACATTGACCCTCGCATGTGTACGGGGGTCGGATGAACCCCCCCCCCCATGGTTGTTCGCAAATAACTCGCGCAAAAAGCGGCCGATCGCGACGAAACTTTTAGTACCCTCGAGTTGATCAGTTTTACACCTACTCTAAAAATTTCATGACCCTGACCCAAAAGACCTTTGACCTCTGACCTGATTCTCGAGACCATGTTCGGCCGGAATCGCGATTTATGTCAGCTCACATTATCCGCGCGTTTCCAGTCTTTTTGTGATTGTAGACGTCCAAACATGTGAAATGATGTTCTTCCCATGCATCACGGTGGGTGTGAAGATAACCTGAAGGTCAGGTCAGGTCATTGACCTTTGATGACCTCGGTTCACTTTTTCGAGTTTTACATGTTTCTAGGGTAGTTTATAGGGCTGATTTCGAATTTAGCATCCATTTGAACGTTAACGAAGTAGTTTTAGTGCTTTCGTGACATGCTACGACGCCGTCAGTGGTAGTTGACACCTACTATGGATAGCCGGTAGGACGCCTAATGGTTGACCTGACCTGACCTGACCCGATCTGGCCTAAATGCATGAAGAAATCATCTGTGATCAAAACTAACATCAGATATTTGTGATCAGCACCCCGAAAAAAAAAAACGATAACAGCTTCACTTTACGCAGTACTAGCAGGTCCCGATTTTCCCGACTTTTGGAATATTGACCTGACCTGGAAGGTCAACCAATGAAGTAGGACCTTAAAATTGGGTATCATCGGCTTCCTCTCGTCACGGGCAACACCCTCGTTTTTTTCCGCGAAGCTCTAGCTCGATCAGGGGCCGAACGGCAGGGGGTCCGACCGACCCCCTCACATTAGAAGCTGGAAAACGCTGCACACATTCGAGGGCTAATATTGTCAATATTGACTACCGCAAAAAGTAAAAGCGGCCAACTTAGCCATTTTCGAAGATATCGGGCTAAAATTTTTGACAGTGGGTCATCGGTTCGGTATGTGTTCAATCACATGCTCCATTTCCCTTTTTTCAGCACTTTTGAAGACCATCACTGATCACAGTAGCAAATGCTTCGAAAGATGAATAGTAGGCAACAGATCCTGAATTTGCCGTGCTGCATGGGAAGTAGTGTTGATGAAAAAGGGGTTTTTGGTTCAGATTATTGTGGGTGCAGAATACATTGTCTGCACCCACTGGATAAATATTGTGGGTGCAGCTGCACCCTTGCACCCAAGGTTCCTACGCTTATGAATGACGCTAAGGTATGACGTCATCGCAAAACGCTAGCGCGCCGCGCTGCCAGCGCCAGCAGCACACTAGCAGCATTCGCACTCAAATCTCTGTTCTCTTTGTACGTGGTTCTTGAGGGCTTCTGTTCCAAAGGCGATTCATCATAGATAACATCGCACGCAACGTCATTCGAGTGACGTCAGGGGTATGCCTTAGCTCCCAGCGCGCTGCAGCGCGCGCAGCGTCGGGCGGTGAAACAGGGGTGCAGTCAAAGCCGTAAATAGGGGTGCAGTGTTTCACCGGTGATAGCAGCACGTGCTATTCTGCTGACGCCACACTTGTGGTAGTGTTGAGCAATGGGCTTGTTGACGTCTCCATGGAAGCCCAATTTGATACGTGCAAGCAACAGCAGCGTGCTGCTATCACCGGTGAAACACCACCAGGGCCCTGAAATAGTCTCGTCAGACCGACCGAAAGGGCCTAACCCAACAACAGCAAAAAAAAAAACAACAACAACAATGTGGTTTAGCGATAAATGTGATGTGTGTCAATACTAATAAATTCATCACTGATGCTCTTCAAGGATGCCAGTTGCTAATTTTCTCAAAATTTCGTTCAGGATCAACTGTTCAATCAGCAACGCGTTGCAACCAGCAACGCGTTGCAATCAGCAACCTTGGTTGATGCAGTCCTTGATCAAAAGGAGGGCTCAAACATTTTTTTGCAGTAGTTTAAGGGTCGGTAAGCATCAGCTGTTCGCCAAAGAAAATAATCGACACTCCTGACGCAATTTAGAAGTTTGTAGCGCGGAACTTTTATATAAGGCAGATAAGGCAAAAAATTGTGTTCTTACCTTTCTAACTTCTAAGTTTATTTTTATTTTTGTTAGAAATGAAGGAGTCAACGGTATTAAGTGTAGCTGCATCAATAGCGTTTGCCCTAGGAATTTTCGTGGGTTATGAGCTTAAAACTTGGAGGATTGAATGGTTGAAAAGACGTCGAGAAAGGCTTGCCAAGAAGCTTGCGGCAACTCAGCAGCAAATAGATAATTTGTCAGAACGAGAGCGCTACTAGCATGTGGTAAAAGTAAGTATCAATACACATGGATCATTTTTCTTGGTTTCAGTGTTCTCAAAAGATTGCCATGCTGCGTGTGGCTCTCTAATCATTATGCAAGGCGAGGATGCTAGACAAACAAAACAAAGCCCTAATAAAACGGGATCCATGTTCAGCTAATAAAGATCACTTTTTCCATGTGCAGGGGTACTGAACTGAATGGGCATTAAGTAGCATGCATTCTATTAAAATGGATCATTCAGAATCCAAATGAGTCTAATCCAAATGAGTCTCATTCAAATGAGAATCCAAATGAGTTTCTGATAAGTTGAACTGCTGCATGCAACCTCATGCAAAATGGTATTTTTCAGACATTGCAATTCATGGCTGTAAGAGGAGTAGGAGGACTACTAACTGAAGCTGTTTCATCATCATCTGCTGGGTGGATTTTATACAAGAAGTGGTGGCACGGGGCACCTGCTTCACCAGTGTATGATGGTGGTGAAATGCCAGCAACTGCAGACCTGCCCAAATGGAGCTCTATTGCACCAACATGGCAGTGATATGACAAAGTTTTAGCATAGATACAAGGGTAGTATCTGCTTAACTTCAACTTGTGACAGGACAGCTGTGAGTGGTCAGACATCCATCATCAAGAGCCTGGAGTCATCATTGCTGAAACTGGACCTTAATTGTGTTGTTGCCCATCACAACAGTTGCTGTTTTTTATAATTATAATTGGCTTCATCACTTGTAATAAAATGGTCATTAATTCTGTTTCTAATTGCCCAGTGTGGAAAGATACCTTTCTGACTTGTGCTCAGAGCTCAGACAGCATTTTTGTGCAATATATGTTTTTTTTTGTCTCACACTCAGTGACTTATTGACTACTGGTTAGTGAAAATGTAAATGCATTGCTGTTGTAAGAATAACTACGTTTCTGGCACTGCCTTATTGCTGGATGCTTGTGAATAGATAAGGAAAACTTCGGTTGTTTTCCTATGCCTTTTTCTGCATAGTTGATGCATTGAAAAGTTAATTGATTTGAGTTCCAGCAGTATGACGTGGCCTAGTGTGTAAGGCCTCCGTCTCGTTACTCGATGGCAGCGAGTTCACGGCCGGGAGCTCCACGTCCTTTGACCCACGTTCCTAGACCTAGTTCCTCGTTCCTACTTTCTAGCTAGCAAATGCTGAGAGAGGGCCACGCTCATAGAAAAAGCCACGCTAGGTCTTTGCCGCCATCTACCTGCGGTACATAATATTGATTCAAATTGTCACTGGTGAACCGGGTGCGGGCAAAGTGGGGTGGTGCCGTCCGTGGTGTCATTTGCAACGAGCGCTGCTTACCGGGGCACCCGGGCCCTCATAGCCACACATTCATCCATTCGGACAAAAATGTATATGTCTTCACTCTTCATCCTACCCCAAAGCATTGATATCAAAATGTTTTTATGGCACTTGAATGAAAAATATATTGACACTATCTGTAAGAACCTTGATTAAGAATCTTGATTGACTTATCCTGCATAATTCGACAAGACTTTACACCGCTTTATTATCACTGATGACATAATCACAGTAATGCTAAATCACTAAAATGATTACTAACTAAGCACTAAAACTAGACAACCAATTGTCGGGGATTGCAGGTAATTTCCATTTTCGCTACCCACATAATCCAGATAAGCGGAAACTGCTTTCAACCTGGGGAACCTTGGGAAGATCTGGATGTGTGACTCAACAACTCACCGAGGTAAACCAAAGTGCATAGGTTTCTTTCCAAGGTTTGACTTTAATTCGGGCCATGGTGTCTTCATACGCAATATTGTTTGGTAATGCGAAGTGGGATAACCAAAGTAATGATGTAATCTAGTTAGGAGAAGTGCATGGTGTCTAAACGTTCTTCAGCTAAGCTCGTGTTGTGTGGAGTAAACTGCTGGGGCGAGAAGGACTGCATTTCACTTCCCCGATAACCCGTCGGCGCGCATGACAGGCTCTGCTTGCGTGAACTCCGTCTTCATTAATCTGTTTGTTGGAAACATGCATATCCGCCACGAAACTGGCACTTAGCGTCGGACGCCAGTGCGGCTCAAACTGAAACTGGGTCAGCACATCGCATCATTTGTCGCATGGAACGACACGCTGTCGCTATCCGGATGGCGGATACAATATGTACGATGGTCGAAGTAATTACGAGGTCTAAAACAATTCACAGCGTTCACGGTATAAATCTAGCGTTCAATGTGCGGAAAACTTATGGCACTTCATCATGTGTACCCTATTTTTTTTCTCTCTCTCTCTCACTCTCTCTTTCTCTAATTTGTTTGAACATATATATGAAGTAATACACACGGACACGCAGTAAGATAAGCGCACATGTTAGGCATGGAGCTGACGCGGTTCTTTTACTATATATACGCATCAGGAGAGCAAGCACAACTTAGGTGCCGCGTGTGTCATTTCAAAGCTGCCTAGGCGACATACCCCGCGTTCGATGTCTCTTCGCCGTCCGAGCTCGGACGGCGAAGATTCTACGCCGTCCGGCCAATCACGTTCCATAACTGCAGCTGAGCCCCCGCTGACCTTGGACGGGATTGGCCGGACGACGTAGAATCTTCGTCGGCCGAGAGACATCGAACGCGGGGGCAATCTTCCGCTCAAACACATGTGTACCCTATTCTTCTTGTGGAAGTCCATTCCATTGAAAAACTGACGACGGGTGCATTGCTTGGGGGCGGGGCATGGGAACTGTTCTGGGCATATGCTGGTAAAAGTTGCCGCTCTGATATCTTTTAGAGATAAAGTAGAAGCTAGAAAGAAGCAAAGGAGAGCCATTTGATGATGAAGGTGAATTGCGACATTATTGACACGAATTCAATTAAAAATTTATTAATAGGTTGGGTTGACCATATCCGACCAAATAAGTTTGCAACCATTGCTTTCATTTATTGCATTGCTGCATAGTTTCACCACTATCCAAAAACGCGCCAAAATTGCGCTCACGCGACGCAGTCTTTTTGCTACCGGGTTCACATAAACCGGTTTAACGTAAGACTTGCTGCCCGGCGAAAATTGCCGGAGTAACTGCCCCCTGCTCGGGTATGGCACTAGGCCGACCGAGCAAAAAAAAAAAAAAAAAAAAAAAAAAAAAAAAAAAAGTCTTTACAAGATTCTTTTGTTGTTTGTGAGTATTTTTTTAGTTATATCATTTTGGTTGGATGCTTATATTGAACTATAAAATATAAAGTCATTTTCTACCTGACAGACCTTTCAGCTTTCGACCGTTCAGCCGGTTTATATTGATATAGCTTTGCCACCTTTCAGCCCGCTGCTCATGGCGTTGATGCTGATAGGAAAGGATAGTAGCTTTTCTGTCTCTAGTGTACAGCAAATAAACCGCAATTGCCCGAAAGGTGAAGATCTTAAAAAAACTTAATTAGCAACGATAATTCGAGATTTTGTGTAATAATTTTTTTTTGGTGATAGAGTGCATATCATAGTGCACTAATTACAATGGGAGATGCTTGGGACGATGGTGAAAACAGGGCGCCTGGGGCGATTTGATCAAGGTTCGTTAAATTTACACGTGATGTTTGGGATATAGAAGGCCCATGGAGTGGGAGAAGTTCCAAATGTCACGTGACTAGTATGCCCTCCGGCGCCCTGTTTTCACCGGCTTCCGATGCTTGAGCAGCATAGGTATCTAATCCAAATGACTTGTGACTGGAACTCAAACTGGCTTCTTGGTGTCAGTTAAAAAAAACTTAAAAATACTGAAATTTTAATATGCATACCCAAAAACCAACTTTAATAAGTTTTCCCTGCATAAGCTTACAAGAGCTTATTCACGCACAATTGCGTCATGCGCCAGTTTAATATGACAAAGGAGAAGTTTTAATTTCAAGAAAATGCAGCCTGATTTATGCAAGAGTTTTAGTAAATGTGAAGATGAAGTCTGATTAGATAAAAAAAAAAAAACAGAAAGTGGCCACAATTCCAACACTATAGGTAACTCAGTAGTGGTTGATATCTACTATGGGTAGTAGCAGGACCCCTACCACTAGTTGACATGACCCGACCTGGCCTAAACACATGTAGACTTTATCTGTGCCCAAAATAAAATGAAATTTGTAATCAGCACCCAGAAAAAACCCTTCAACAACCTCACTATGAAGCTCTGACAGTTCCCGATATTTCTGACTTGTGGGTCATTGACCTGACCTGAAAGGTCAACCAATGACCAAGGACCTCAAAACTGAGCATTATCGGCTTCCTCTCATCACGGGCAAGATGCTGGTATTTTCTGCAAAGCTCTAGCTCGATCAGGGGCCAAATGGCAAGCGGGGTCCAATGGACCTTAAACACCATTATGGGCGAAGGCTAAATAATACATAGGTACTTAAACACATACTGTGATGCTTATATAAGCATGGATGTGGCACTTATCATTTAAGTGTGTTTTTGTTGGGTTTCAGGGAAAAACATAAACATGTAGCAACTAGGTTTCCCTTACCATCATCCATCTTTTTTTGTTCACAGGAGTGAAGTTTTGGGAAGAAGCCAAAAGCAACTAGTTATTCTAGAAAACATGTCACAAAAATCTCTGACTGAATTCTTCCATCCAAGAAAGAGGCAGAGACCAGAGACATTAAAGAATGAGCCAGCTAAATCTGTCTTATCTAAAGGACTAGATGCGCCTGTGAAAAAGGCAAAGCGATTGAAGAGGGATATTGCTGAACCTAGTTCAGCAGGGAATGGGGTGCAGTTCCACATGAGCAAAGAGCAGGTTTTGAAATCCTTGAAAAGTCAGAGTGATGTGGATTCCCACTCAAAGTCACCTGCCAAACATGCCCATCTTGTCAGACTCAAAGAAAAACTGACTGATTTCAAGACTGCCTCTCAGACCCTCAGGGACTTCAAAGCTGGCAGTGATGCTCTGGGTGCAACAAAAACTGATTGTGGTGTGTTTTCGGCACAAGAACCAAAAGCTACAAGTGCCTCGAGGCCACACAACTCGACTCAAACATTTGTGACAGCAAAGAGCGTTCAACGCAACTTGTTTGGAGGATCAGATGATAAGCCTGCACCACAGAAAGAAAAACTCGCTGATAGTGCACCAAGACCGGGAGTGGCTCCGGGTATGTCGCCGCAGAAGATGAAGGAATCGCTGATGAAGTGCAACAACATCGGTCAGCTGAAGGAGCGGCTCGCGGGCTACAATAACGCTAAGCAGAAGCTGAAGGACTTTCAAGCCGCCAAGGAGACGCTCAGCGCCAAGGATCAGATTTCCAAGCCCAAACAGACGCTGGAGTTCGAGATCACCAGCCCAGTGAAGACCCCCAAGAAGAGTATCGCCAGTCCATCCCCTAAGAAGACCCCGGCGTACGAGCGTTTCCAGCACCTTCTGCACGACACGCCCTCGACGCTCTCCCTGCCGTACAAGTACCGTTTCCTCAAGGAGGCGTTCCACTGCCTGGATACTGTGGCCTCCTTCCTCCACAACAGGAAAGAGATCATCACATTCAAGAAGCTGAAATCGTCAGTGCAGGAGATGCTCACCAAGAACTTCACCGAGGCTCAGCTGGCGCAGATCAAGACGGTGTTTCCGTTTGCCTACATCTTCAGGCGAGAGAAGAACCTGCCCAACCACAAGGTGACGCCCAACAACAAGAACAAGTGGCAGCTGACGGTGGAGGTCAACACAAACTACGAGTCCGGTGAGTTGATGGAGCTGTCTATTACTGACGGCACTTTTCCGACATACCTGTGTCTCATACACGATATCTTGTTGACTCTGAGCTACGGCCTACGTGTCATTTTATCGTAAGGCGTGTCGGCTGGTTTCTCCCATCGATGTAATGATCAGGTTATTGTGACTTGCAAGGTTCGCATGAACTATGTCTCAATAGTATGGCAGTCACAGAGAGGAAATCGGGTCCTTTCAGCATTCACGTAGAAATAGTAAATAGCTGGAAGTGGTTCAGCCTCGTTTTATGAAAGACTTGTTTGACTCATGCGCTGTAGTCACATGACAGCCTCCAGCGTCTCTCTGGAGCACGTTTCATTTGGATGGCCAGATAAAGCCAAAGAAGCAGGAATGTTTCCCTCACACCCTCAGAACTTTGGCATTAATCCGTTGAAACGTATTTTCCCTAAATGACACCAACCTCCTGGTTTCCAGACATGAAGTCTCCGGCGCCGGCCGCCGAATCGGTCGGCTCGGCGCCGCGGAGTTCGGTCGAATACCGCAAACTCACGCCGGGAATGCTGCTGCAGCGCGGGCGCATCTTCCACGCGGCGCTGGTGGACCTGGTGCTGCAGCACCACCAGGAGTTTCTGCTGCAGCTGGACCCGCCCTTCACCGTGGATCCTGCGCGCATCACCCGCTGGCACCCGCAGTTCCCGCTGGAGGCGGTGCCCGACGTGCCGGCCGCCGAGCTGCCACAACCGCCGGCCGACGAGACGGGCGGCACGGCGCGCGATGTCCTGGAGCGCGCCCGCCACATCGTCTCCAAGTACCCCCACCTGCGCGAGACACTGGAGGCGGTGGCCGGCCCGGCGCCGGAGGCGGCCCCGTCCGAGCCCCAGCCCGGCCCCAGCGGCGCCCAGCCGGCCGCACCGCCGGCGGGCGCCGGACGGCTGCCGGCCGGACTGCTGGAGCGGATCCGCGCGCGCGAGGCGGCACGTCAGCAGCGGCTGATGACCCGGACCCCGGCCGAGAGCCGGCGGCTGAACATGCTGGCCCGTCTGCCGCAGCTGGTGCGCAGCCTGCGCGCCACGTTTGTCACGGAGCGGCGCGCCGCGCTGCCGCTGGAGACGGTGATGACGCGGCTGTCGGACAGCAGCCGCGGCCTTGCCGAGTGTGACGACCTCCGCAAACACGTGGAGCTACTGGCAGAGGAGGCGCCGCAGTTTGTGCAGATCGTGCAGCTCAAGTTGGGCACCTTCGTGAAGCTGGTGAAGGACGTGGATGTTAACGCTGTTGTGGCGTCGCTGGAGAAGAAGTTGGAAAAACAGTGATATTATAGGGCTGACTCGTCAGCTGATCAAGGCAATGACACAAGCCTTTCGTGGACCAAGCCTTATGTAGCCCTGGTCCACGTGGACTTTGGTCCGCGTGATAGCCCGTTGAGCAGGGCTATCACGCATCGCATTTCTCAATTTATTACTCTTTTTTTGTCACATTCATTTTCGGTGCCTGCCATGGGTTCACCACACCATACACGTCACCTACGACTAATCTGCTATGAAACCGGCCATGCTCAAATACATCTGTAATTTCGCATACCTTTGTTAGGAAGAAGTAACTTGCTTAACAGACGGACTCTGACCTTCAGGTTTAACTGACAACCTCTGAGGCCCGCATTAATGGTGCTCATACTGCCCTCTAATTGTGCGCGCCGATTCTCGCTTAGCGGTTCTAAAAACAGGACGATGGTAGTGACGAGGGACGCCAATACGCCCACCACCACACGTGCTTTTGATCAGAGAAACAAAGCGTTAAGTAACGCAACAGCTTGTATTATTCGACGCGCACAGCTGTGATTATACGCACATCGACATTGTCTCCACACGAACACTGAAAACCCAGCACTCTGCGAGACGGTGACGGCTGACGGACGCGTCACGTCGGCCATGTGTGTACCGTGTGTACCTAATTTGTAGCCTACGAGCAGTCGGACACAGCGCCCCCGTAACAACAGTCGACCAGCCCGGGCCGACACCGCACGGCGGAGAATGGACAAAGGGAAACGTACATCCTCCTTGTGCGAAACGCCTGGATCAGGGCGCCTTTACAGACGTGAACTGACGGACCGGGGAGACTTGAGGCCAGGATATAAATTCAGTCGATGAATGTAGTGATGAACGGAAACCAGGTCACCATGATTTGTTGGCTTTTCTTTGCATTATGGCAGGCTCGAAATTCAGTGTAAACAGTCGCGGTTAGTATACACGAGGCATGTCTGCACATACGCATAGGCTCGGTAAGCAAGGAGTACAGCATGCCACCAGTTCAACCTGTGGCAACGCGCTAACTGAAAGATAGAACTAGCACAAACCCAGCGTTACAATATAGTTGACGACCCTTCAGGCCGACCGTATATTTATGAGACACAAGTTAATCAGTTCGTTGTACCTACTAACCATTGCAAGTACTAGAACCCAATGCGTAACATGCAACACCATTCCTTGAACCCAGGCTAAGAGAATGTCACATCCACGCCAGGCTATGGTCAGATCTACACCAATTTGTCCTTCCATCTCGGAGCTCATATTTATTTGAATAACAAGCAATATTATAAATTTTGTGGTTTAACAAGTCCATGAAAGAGCGCAGTTAAAGAATATCTACAATGATAGTGTTATGGAATAGCATGATCATGCTTTTCGAAGTATTCCGTCAACGAAGAATTGAAAACATTGTTCACCACGCAATGTCCTGAAATCCTCGGCTACTGAAGGGTATAACCGAGTGGCAAAGTCATCGGCCCTCTCAACACGACACAGGAGATAGAGCGAACCACGATACAGCACATGTCACACTGGGCCCTGCTTCCGCGAGAAAGCGCACGTCGAGACTCAGCCACTCGAAAACTTTGGTTACGCTCGTCTTTTGCATTCGCATCCATATCCCACCGTCATCTCAATACATTACCATTTGCTGGTCCGTCTCACCCACAAACTTCACATCGAGCGCTACATATACAGAATGCCACTAGTCGCAGGCCTATCTCAAGCGGGAGCAGGGATACATCCAACACCGGGAGCACACTGGAAACAGGAGACGAGTCGCCATAGGCCCCGGATACGGCTCCATCATGAGCCACCACTCACCGCCCAGTATGTACAGCAGTAGCCACCGGAGCTCGCCAAAGCAACATTAAAAACCACACGAGAAAATTTAATGGAGCGGCGTACAAAAATACGGTAATGGGTAACCATGGTCTTCTAGAAGTCAGCTAGTTCCTTTTCTGGTAGTAACTACAACAAACGGACACAGGAAACCCAGTCCCCGGGCGGCGCATCGATTTGGCATCGGGTTACCATAGGTCGGCTGCTGACGTCACAGTAGCGCCAGGAGCGCAGCCAACGCGCCGGACCTGAGGCAATGCGCCGTAACCCACCACCAAACGTCGGCCGGTCGCTCACACGACAGTTGGGCCACCAATTTACTGCACATAGGAGACCGAACCGCCCAGTACGACACTAGACAGTCGGGTTCAACAAAGTACCCGGGCCGTCCATTTCAGGCCATACAAGAGACCAGAACCATGCGGTCTGTTGATTCTGGACCGTACGGTCCGGCGGCATATATAGGATACCCGAACCGTTCAGCCCGACAGCACACAGGAGACCCGAGATATCGGGCTCAGAAGTCCGCTAATGCACCCTAGACCACGCAACCAGTGCCTCCTCAAAGTACTCACCGGTACTGAAACTGAAAGAACGACTCGCTCACTATGCCTGTCTCATAGTGATTACATTCCCTTACCCTAAAATACGCCCACCGCCCGCGGTGCGGAGTCCGAAGGTTGTATCAGCTCTCCCAGAAAACCTCACCCCTGGGCACCGCCGCGTCCCACAAACCCCGCCTAGAGCCCCACACAGGCAGACGGCCGGCCGGGTAGGCAGACGGCAGTAGCTAGTCGGGCGGAGGCTGCCGTCTTCCCTATATCGAGTTCATTGAGGAGGAGTGTGAGGGCGCCGCGCCGGAGCCGGACGCCGGCGGGCCGGGCGCCGCCGAGCCGGGGGTGGTGGCCGTCGGCTGGCCGGGTGTCTCCTCCAGCGAGTGCTGCAGGGCCACCGGTGTGAGCCACTCCTTGGGCAGACAGCGCTCCAGGAACGGCACCATGGCGCTGACAGAGGCCAGCCGGTTCACCCACGAGGGGATCTCGCGGCCCGTCAGCAGCTGCGGGCGACAGGACGGCGTCAGAGCGCGGTTAGAGGGCGGCGAGACAGAGATAGAGGGGTTAGACGGCTGTCAGAGATCGGGTCAGTAACCTGTCAATTACCGGAGATGCCTGCATGAGCAAGTAAGTACGGATCGCAAACAAGTTTTTTCTCGTTGCACTCAGCATCGTTATCCGTTTGCGAAGTGCATTTACTCCGGTAATGTACCCTGGCAAGTGACTGATATCGCCACTTCTTATACAAAGTATAGCAGAGCGTGTAATAATGTCTGATAACATGGAGATTGGAGGGTGCTTTCTACCAATACTTTTTTTTCTAACTATCCCCAGCCCCCGAAAGCTAATCCAGAACTGCCAAGGAAGCCAAATAGTGCCAGTTCAGTCCACACTGAAACTCAGCAGCCGCGTTTAGACGCCAACGAACGTAACATTAGGGCTTCCGCGTCAAAACGCGTCTCCGTGGTCGACACTCGACTGAATGGGAAAGCGGCCTAACCCAGTGACGTAAAACAAACATTGAGTTGCGATATCGATCGATCCCTTCCTTACCTGTGACAGATTGGATGTGAAGTGGTTGCAGTTCTTGTTGATAAGATGATATCGGTCACCGCGAAAGTCCTTGCCCATTTCCTCGATGATTCGATCCAAGTCGTCTCTCGTGAAGTCCGTGTACCCTAAATGTATAGATTGTCTGCAAATGACAAGATTATTGTCAGCGTAAACGGTAAACATCACGGTAGTATACTGCTAAGAGCAACTGTGAAGTTAACCACTGCTCCTTGAACAAAATAGTCTGGATTAAGACTAAAAATATGCTCACAAATAAACAGCACTTTAAATGTCAAATATCTATGGCCTGTATGGGTCATGAAACCTTTAACACTACACCAAAGGGTCGATGGGTGATAGAGCGGGACGATGACCCAGAAATAAGAAGAACGTAAATAGCGTAATAAATGACCCCTGGGGTTTGGTCAGTCCATCTCTCAACAGGTGCGGATAACGAGTCAAAAGGCGATCTGCCGCTGGCGGAACCTACTTGAACTTGAACTGTTCACCGAGGTCGTCCGCGTCCCTGGGTCGTATGGTGAACACCCCCGAGAACGGGAACGGGTGGCCGCCGTACGCGTACTCTGCAGCGAGAGGGAGGGCGAACGGTCAGACATACGGTGACGAGGGAGCAGACTCGCATAGACTGGTGTCACCAGGTGACACACTGGCTATACGCCAGACGATGTGGCAACTGAGTCCAATCTGACCCTGGTATGTCAGATAAGGATTGGGAAAAATGTGGTCTGAAAAATACACAGAGTTCACCGCCGTAAAAGCATCCCACATTCAATGACTACGCGCATTTAGGTTACTTTCAGTTTGACAACGCCCATAAACATTCGTTTCCACTCAACAGCAGCATATCAAGTTCGAACTCACCAAAACCGTAGATCTCTAGGCCGGAGTGAAAGACGCCGAACCCGATGTTCGAGGTATACTCGTTTATCCAGTACTGCAAAAGAGGACGACACATGAGCAAAATAACCACATGCAATCATGATTATGTGTAACATGATATCATGATCATGAAATAATGAACTTTGATTCGTCCTCCCTGGGGTCTAGTGGAAAATGTGCATACATTTACTACCAGTACCGGTACATCCAGGGCCAGCGACTTTGAAACTGCATTGGTCAACAAAATAGTTGCTTAAAATATTATTTTGCGGTAAATGCTACTACGCTTACGTTTATATATCTTAGATAATATCACATCTCGTTTAATCAGTTGCCAACAGCTCAGACCTCCACCGACATCAGCCGTGTCTCACTCACCATGTCATAAACATTGAGAATGACCGGTTCTCGCGCCATGCCGCCGGGCACAGAGAGATCGTCCGACAGATCCTGCTGGTATCCCAAACAGCTGGGAAACGTCATCCGACAAAAATCTCCGAGACCGCTAGACATCTACTGCAGGCATTCCATACATCCTGAAACAATACACAAGTAGTAGAGTCACAATCATACATAGACACAAAGGCAAAACAAATATGACAACTGACAAGTGATAAGCAGTGTGATGGCATCATCATTTAATCTCAATAATCATTTTGTTTGTTTTGCTGGAAGCATGCCCTTCTGGTCTGAAAACGCCATTGCAGAGCTATTTGGGATGATAATATAGGGTGGAGACTTGGGACATTAGACTGGGGTCTGTGTGGACCATCGACAGCGCGCCGCAGCCCGCAGCGGCAGAGGCCGAAACGGTCGGACGGGAGCAGGGCCACGGAGTCGATGGATCTTCGGCGACTTCGACTCTGATGGTGGCTTCCCAATATCGACTGCAGGCAGAACTGTCAACTCTGATCTGGCTCTGACTTTGCAGCCCTGGCAGGTCTGCAGAGTTAATGGATTTTTGGTGATTCTGGCTCTGACTTCCAATATAGACTCCGACTCTCGTCAGAACTCAGAGCTGTCGACTCTGACCAACTCCATTGCTCCACATCTGACCCCACAACCCTAATCATGAGTAAGCCATTGCCTGCCTTATCACTCTATCCAATGGTTACCCTGGAGAGATTGTAGATCAACCAAGATCTTGCCTTCACACTGGTTGTATGCTGGGGTGACTGCCAACATGGAAAGGGTACCATGAGCAGGGATGTGGATGGGTTGGTCCTGATTCCTGTGGAAGGTCAGATGGTTGCCAAAACAGTAAGGACAGATTAATTGATCCTGTGATTGATCAAAAAATGCTTTTGATATTCTTAATGATGTTACTTCCTTGCTTCCTTTCCTTTTTGTAAAGTTAGGCCTTTTGGGTCTACTAAGACCTTTGCAGAGCTCGGTAGATGATAGTACTTAGAAAGACACATAATGGCCTGGCTAGTTACTCTTGTATGCCACTGGGGTTGAGCCTGTCATGTAGACACTAAACAGGCCAGTAGCCCAGCCACACAGAACTGCTAACAGCTGTCCCACCACACCTAGACATGCCCCTGAGCCCTGAGGACCTACTCATGTTGGATAATGGTGACCATTAAATCCAGAATTGAGAACAGGCCAGAGTTTGAGGTGTGGAAGATAAGAATTTGACTATCCTGCAGATGCAGAATTCAAAGAGAGAATAACCTCCTCCTTCTTTGTGAATGCATAAATAATAAATTGCTACATTAGGTATTATCTTACTATGATATAGTAGGCATTTACCAATCTGTGACAAGTGCACAGTTAATTTTGTAGAAAGGCCCAGCCAGGGACCATTAAACTGCATAATCCTGCAGTTGCATGCAGCGCAGCAACCCCCGGGTATCTACATCAGAGGGCTGTTCACGGACCCTGTGTGCGGTCGGACCGCACACAGCCTCCAAGCTCCGCCCACTGCGTCCCTACGTCAGCCTTGCGTCACCGCACACAGCGACCGCTGTGGCCGGTCGGGACTGGCCACAGCGGACCGTCCACCGCACGCAGCCGTGACGTCAGAGCCGCCTACCCATCCCCTACCCCCACGCCTGCTGGACGTACCGCACACACCGCACGCAGCAGTGTGCGGTGTCCGTGAACACCCCTCAGCATGCTAAAAAGTTCCAGATGCTACAGCATTCAATTTGAACTTTGGAAGTTCACAATTCAAAACCATCTAGAAGATTTGACCATTTACTGATCAGCCCTGATCACTGATGTGTCTCTTCTATGCCATTATCATTTTGGGTGTGTCATAACATCACTACAATTAAGAACAATATGAGATGACACTGGGGCCCAAAAATCTTAGAATGCAATATCTATCTACCTCACACTTCACGGTGAAACCAGAGGATGTCACCAATCAACCATGCGCACTAGCCTGCAACACACTGGCTAGGATGGAAATCTGCTCTAGCCCACACCAAATAAGACCCATAACTCTAATGAATAATGAAGGGGTAGCTTTTGTTGTGATTTACAATCTATGACCAGAATATAAAGCATTTACCAATTTGAAATTAATGCTAGAACGCAAACGGTCAGTTCCGAATTCCGATTCGATCGCACTTTGCGTCACGCCTTATTGAAATGCTGTCACTGTGAGAGGAGGAAAAATATAAAAAATGATAACAATACGTTGCTGAAATTAATTTTCATGCAACACAACGCCAATTTGTACCCCACCAAAAACACTAACAAAGCAAACCAATCATCCGGACATGGACAGAGACATTCCCCGCAGCTGACCATCAGTAAACAACACTGAGTTTCAATTATTGCGCAGCTGAGACGCAGCAAAGAGATGCTAAATAAGTGCAAGCATTTACAACTTACAAAGCTGACATATTTGTAGCCACCACTGATTTTGACTACATAGACACAATCCTGTCAAAGTTATTCATTCGACCAAGAATATTCTAATTACACTCGTCCTAATGCTGAAAGAGGTAGAAAAGCTGCTTTATATTTTCACCAAGCTATTTTTATTGTCTTATTTCCACCCAACTAAACTGACTAAATTGACCTGTCGTTTGCGCGGACATCTGTGATGCCCCGACTTCGACTCATGCCAAATACAGAATTATGGCTGCTTCAAAATTCCATCTTCTAGCTTATAAATGTGAATAACATTCGCATGCCATTAACAAATACTATAATGCTCTTTTTAAAACCATGGGCTAGTTCTGGGGTCCTCAGGAACGGGGCCTTTCAACTGATGAGGGCCTACCAACACCGAGCCTCAGCTGTGAGTCGGGAAAGACCAAGACGATGACATTCCGCGCCTTAAGTAGGATGGCCTTCTGGGCCAGAGCTGCAAGTCCAGTCCAGACCACAACTCGCAAATGCACTCTGCCGGGAGCATGGCCATTGGACTCCCCAAACACACGCGTTGTTAAGACTAGTTTATTTACATTTTACGCCGAAGTGGCTACAAGCGCCAGTGCACAGTTTGCGCCAGTCCGACCGACTCGCTGCAGGGCGGCCAGCACGTGAGGGCGACCCGCCGGCGGCCGGCACACACTTCAGAGCGGACTCCCCGCTCCGCTTGTTGCCAGTTGTACTTGCATTCGTTGCCGGGTCAAAGATCTACAAAAATAGCGCAGCCTATGCGGTTAGTTGCTGGCGAGGGGCACGAGACGAAGGCAGGCGGTGGCGGCGGCGCTGCTGCCCAGTCCAGCCGGCGGTGTCGGCAGGCTCAGTCAGTCCGGTCACTGCTGCCTCTCCCAGCGTCATACAGCGGCGGCGGCGGCACGTCACACCGGCAGGACGGGGACAGCGCGCAGGCATTAGACAGGCAGATACGGTGATTAGGTCGGTTAGATGCTGCTGTGACACGCAGTGGCCGGCTCTAGCTCGCGGGGTGACCCGGCTGCGCGGTGCACTCCCGGCGGCCCGGCGCCACTGGCGGCCTCTCGGCGGCCACGGCACCGCGCGAGTGTTCGCGAGGAAGCGACTGCGTGGCTCACCTAGCCCTCAGTAAGCCGGGCGGGGTAACACCGGTCCCTTTGAGACTGTCGCTGTGCTTAGGAGAGCGTGGCACAGCTACACGATCAGACCCGGCAGAGTTCGTCCCTCAGTCCGTCTGACTAGCCCGTTAGCTACACTCCGGCACCACGGCTCCGCACAGTCACTGCGACCTCTGCCGCCACGCTACAAGGCACTCGGTCGCGGCGCGGCGGTCGCGCCGCCACTCACGGAAGCACAGTCTCACTCACACACACCTCATTCAACCAGCACGTAACACGAATTATATCAGTCACACGGCGTCAAAAAATCACACAGTTTCAGCACCACCGGTTCAGTCGCACCCCGCGTCAAATACCACCGCGTTCGGCTCTGCTCAAACGCGCGCACCAGTAATAGTATAGATTAAAATTTCAACAACGCACTGCGCGGCGGGGCAGCCGCGTGCAATAACGACATTAAACATAGATTGTGCGCCCAGCGGCGCATGCCACTGCGCACGGCGCGGTGCGGCGCTCGCTCGCGAAGCGACAAACGCCCAGTTCATCTCAAAGAAGGGCGGTGGGCGCCGGCTCGCCTACCGCCACCCGCCGGTGAGCTTGTGGAAGAGCTCGTGGTCGAGCGTCTGGCTCGAGTCCTTGGAGCGCACCTGCAGGAAGATGTAGCCGCCGATGAACTCGTGTACCACCTTGCAGTCGGAGGAGAGGCACTCGAAGACGACGCTCTCCTCGTCGAACTGCACCATCATGTGCCGCACCTCCCAGTTGACGTTCCACGCCTATTCAACAGACACAGAGGGACGGGGGTTAGACAGACGGACGCCGTAAAACGGGGACATAGCACATGCAATCCTGGAACCTCTAACGGTACGATTGCAATTACCTACTAAACAGTATTCAGTTTTTTCCTGCGACTGTCTCGAGACGACATGTCTAGAAAACAGATGTACCAGGATTAATTTTATCTTCGGCGATAAGCATCTGTCCTTGTAGACAGATCCTTTCGAAAGGCACACACTATGAAGTATGTTATGATTTAATAGCGGTCCACCGACTGTGCTATAATGTGAAATCGGCAGATCTCCACCATATTCCGTCCGCTAGTTCCGCACCTTCATGGTGTTGTAGCGCCAGGTCTTGAGGTGTCCGCCGTTCAGGTCCATCCGCATCAGCCGGTTGAACGCGATGCCGAGCAGCTCCTCCCGCTTGGCCTTGAGGAACTTCACCACGAAGTAGGTGATGCCGAACTCTGGCAGCGCCTTCCACGACTTGATGTAGTTCATCTTGGACTCGATCAGGTTGCAGTTAACCACGTTGGCGTGTGCCTCCAGAATCCGCTGGTGCAGCTGTAGAGGGCATGGGATCACACGTCACAGACCGTACAAAGATGTCAGGTCTGTGGGGCTTACTTACACAGACGGAGACACAGTCAGATGGTCAGTAGTTAGCTATGTCGGTGTGGGAGCTATACACTTCATAATATAGGATTGGGAAATGCATTTTCACTATCCGTAAACGCATCCGTTTACACGTCATCCTATCCCGAAAAACTGCTGTTTCATTGGGTCATTGCGCGGTGGGTTTGCGGGTAGAAACTGGCAGTGGTACTGGATGGCGGATCAAGAAAGCTCTGAAACGCTACTGCTCGGAATCACCGCAAGCTACTATATCTCGCTATGCTGCTATCGCTGTCGCTTTTTGTCCTGAATTCGCTGCAAACGTCATAATAGCTTCACACTCCAAACCACTCGGATCACTGGTAAAATGGGGGTACACTGTAGGCAAACTGGCGGTCGGGGAGGCAGTACTCTGTTGCCCAGGCAGCAGTGAGGGCAGGTGGCTAAGCGTCAGGTCCGGCATGTTTCGGGTGGCCGACCTATGATAACCCAGGTAAACACATGCAAACACACCCAAGAACGCATAGCGGCCGATGGATCCAGGACACGTCCATTATAGAACTCATTCATTGACCGTTTTCAATGGGGAAAATTCATATCATTGCACAAGGGCCGTTCAAGTAATCTGAATGAATCAGAGACACGCAATGACCTGGATCCACCGGCTATCCCTTTCTGGCCAAACGCCCGTCCCCAGCTCTCAGCCCGACCCCAGCCACACGCCTCCCCGTCCCCAGCCATACGTCATCCCGTCCCCAGCCACACGCCTGTCGCCTTTACCGACTCCTGCCGCCGGCAGCCCTGACACGAGCCTCCCTGAGGAGACAGAGCGCTGTCGCTGATACGGAGACAGCTCACGGATCATAGCACGGTCATGGTAAGTACATGGAGAACGGCCGCCAAGGTGGTGTTCGCCGCGCGCATACATACCAGAGGAGAGAAAGGAATGAAACTAGCACCTAAATGAGAATACATGCATAAAATACAACGGATTATGCATGTATTCTCATAATCCATGGTCATAGGTCTTGTAAATAGATACAACGGAACGGTACAACGGATTAGATATATCAAAGTGAGGGTAGTTGGCTGACGCAAAGTGGAGAAAGAAACGTTATCAAGATAAAAAAACTACTGCTACGAGGCAACTAACCATTCGAACATGAGGTAAGAGAAGTGCGGTCGAAACCCAGGAACAATAGAAATTAGCACACTCATGCATCACCGTATTTGGATTGGAACGGTTCCAATGGAACCTGTCAGAAGTTTGTACATATCGGAACCAAAAATGTGGCTTCGTAGTTTCGTACCTCCCTTGCTCATCATTTCACCCCTCTGGCCATTCACCGTTCATCTGTATCGCCCTCTGCCCTCAGCTCTCACTTCTCTTTCTCACCTTGCTCTTCAGTTTTTTGATGAAGCGCGGTGGCACGTAGTCCTCGGGGCTGATCTCCAGGCTTTGCGGGTTGATGGCGGGCGCCGGCGCCGGCCGCTGCATGGCCAGAAAGTCGAGGATGCTGCGCACCTCTTGGTCGTACGAGGCGTCCGCCATCGTCTTGCCCTTGGCTCCGAGCCGGCAGGCGGCCATCCAACGGGCGTACTGCTGCTCCTGTGGGCGGACAGGGGAGGGTGGACGTGACGAGTGTGTCGGCAGTCAGGGCAAAGAGGTGGCGGTCTCACAGAGGGCCACAGGAGTTGACAGCGCTCCTGCTCCCTGAGGGCAGCATAGGGTGGGCAGAGGTGACAAAATTGCTCCCGAGGCCAGGCCGGCGAAGCGCAGAGGCTAGCAATACCCAGGGACGGTGGGAGTCGGACCGGCCAGAAAATCAGTAGACAGCTTCCAGCTACACGACACAGCTGTGACATCATTTATTAATGTCAGTGGAATAATGACTAAGCATCAGACAGTACTCCCGTCGACAAGTCGGACATTTTCAAAGCAGCCGGGCTCATCCCATCCTCATACTCATTCACAGACGCACATTAACAGATAAAAAATACGATTCATCCATGATGGCACCCGGCCACAATCCATCAATTCTCGCCAGGCCGGCGGTTCCACAATCCATCATCGTTACAAATACACATATCGTGTATATCTATCAGGGAGACATTTAAATCAGCGGGCTGGGCATGCTATATCAAATACGTCATCAACTCCGTGTCACTCATAGACGGAGCAGAGCCGTCGGTCGCGCGCCGCTGTGAGATTAGACAGGGCCAGCTGGCAGCGTGCAATCCAAACAGAGCACCTTCCAACAGCAACAAATAGACGGACGGCTCAGCCGCCGACCGACCGGCCGCCGCCCCTCGGGGTTTCCGTGGTTGCAGGT